ATATTTTCTAGATAGTTTGAAGCCAAAGCTTACTGTGACTCTGACCCACACTGGCAGTGTCAGCCCTTCCAATTCAGCTCTCACGTCTATCACCCTCATGAATAGTTGAGAGGCTCCATGTGCTGTTTCTAAATTGCCATGGGCCGTTCTGCGGAAGAAATGGGCTTCAGAAGTGCAAACTGATGGACTCAGTTCAATTAAAAATTAATCTAAACACCATAAATCTAGGTTTTACCTCAACAGAATTTGAATTAGCATCATGCTATATCTAGAATAAGCAAGATCAACTTATACCATGCACACCGAAACCACGCTCCTGGAAATACTGGCTACTGCTCCCTGGTCACAGAATAGGCTTGGTATTCAGTATAGACTATAAAAAAATGGAAACCTCAACAGACTTTAATTTGAAAATGCCTTTTTGAGGGATTAAATACTTAAAATTGCAAGTGGCAGTGTTTTAACCTGAGTGTCCTTCCATGAATTTGACTGTAATTTTGCTAACTGCCCTTGCTAACGAAGGCTTTCACATGCACAAACCCAGCCATGAGATTAGGGACTTGGTCTCCTCATTTATCAATCATCTGACTTTGTAACATTTAAGTTGTGATTTGAATAGCATGACAAAAGACAAGTTTCAGGAGAAAACTGTTTCTCCTTGTTCAAGATATACATGCTTTTAGAATGAAAAATCAGCACAATTGTTGCTGAAACTCTGAGTGTTGAGAAAAAAATGGCAATTTTTGTGCAGAATGTCAGAAGTTTCAACAATTTAAAAAGTGTTATGAAAGGCTGGTTGGGGTTTTTTTAGAAGGTTGTTTTGATATTAAAAAGTAACAACTACTACATGCTTCACTACAATTCCTACATAACATTTTTCTGTTTAGAAAGAAATGTCCACCTTGGCTCACAAGAGGCAGCTCACAGCAAACCTGAACGGGTAGCGCAACACACACCACTGCCTGGAAAACCTGCCCTCTCACAGGCTTGTTCCCTGGGACTTTAGGGGCCCTTCCAGAAGCCTCTCCCGTGGGATCCCCGCCACCTCACAGCCATCTCTGCCACTTTTCTTGAGACCAGCAGAAACTTAGTTATCTTTGAAACCTCTTGCTTTCTGGTTGAAATTAGCCAACGGTCCAGAAGCTGCTGAAAGAGGAAGAAGAGACACTTCTCGTGGAGTTTACATTCCTTTAGGGAAAGGGGACTAAAGGCATATACCAGAAGCAGATTTTCAAAAGATATGTTCGGCTATTAGTTGTTGTAAGGAGTGAGGAAGTCTCACGATATAATCCTATGACCTGTGTAACAGGTGAACATGGTCGTTCCCTCTCACCCTAAAATATTTATTCCTACATAAGAAAAAAATCCCTAAAAATGGAAAACTGCTAGTCAGGAAGGATCAGAACCACGTTTACCACTTCATGTGTTTTATGATGAATCTGACTTTGCCCACACCTGACTTGGGAAAACTAAAGCAGGGATCCAAATGGCACACCGCACACGTCACTTAGGGACGGAGCTGCTTCACCCTCTTGCTGCTTTCCCCTCTGTATTTCGTGGGCGAGGGTATGCCCAGAGAGGCCGGGCACTGTGCTGCCAGGGTCCCCGCGCCGAATCCTGCACGAGCTGCCCCTGCTCAGGAAGCCGACGCGGGCCGAGGGCTGCCATAACAGCACTAATGAACGGTGCCTCACCATTAATTGTTACGCTATTGCCAGTTACAGCCTTCCGTGGCTGTTTTGCTGCATTATACGTATATATAATGTATATGCATATATATATCTTCAGCAGCTTTTGCTTAGGGGTAGCTAGCGACTAGGCCTCCTCCCGTCTCATTCGAGCACTGCGTGGGGAAGGAGAGGAGCCGCCCCTGTGCGTGGGTCTGCAGCTCCCCCGCCTGCACGCCAGCACCTTCTCGCCTTTTACTCTCGTACGTTCCCAGCTTACTCTGCTCCGACCGCTCCCCGCGGGGAAAAGCCGCACAGGTTCGGAATACGTTTACAATTCGCCACCGTTTACGTTTCCCTCGGAGGCGGCCGGGTGGCTCGCGAGCAAAACGCACGGGCCTGAACGACTAGCAGGGGGGTGCACCGCCCCCCCCGGTTCGGTACGAGGGGCTGCGGGCTCTGCTCGCTGACGGCGCGCTCCTCCCCACGGCGGACGCCCTACAGGAGGCGGCGGACGCGCGGCAACGGGCGTCGCCCCCGCTCCCCGCCACGGCTAACGCACCCTTGAACACGCCCGCTGCGCCTCACGCGGCGCCTAGGCCGCGCGGCAGCCCGCTTCCCGCCGCCCGGAC